CGGGTGAGCAGAGCAGGGCAGGAAGCTCTTGCGTGTGTCCTGTGAGCACAGGCAGCCCCACAGCTGGTGCTGGGTGGCCAGTGCAGCCCAGGAGCAGCGGCAGGGTCTGTAAAGCTGAGGACTCGGTGCATCCTCTCGGAGAAGTGTCCCCCGGGAGCTGGTGGCACCCTCATTAGGTATCGGGAAGGGTCCAGGGAAAGATCACAGAATCAGGGAGGATGCACCCTCAATGGCCACGGAATGTGAAGTCGTCTGTGCCGCGGATGAGGACCTAGAGGCCGCCGAGCGCCGCCCGGTCTGCAGGGTGGACTCTGCAAGGAGAATCTGTGCTGAGGACCGGTTGTGTCCTCGCGTCGTCACACTTGGGCTCCCTGTGACCTCCCCTCTGTCCCTGCACAGGCTGCTACCTGCCCAGCAACCCCGAGGCCATCGTGCTGGACATCGACTACAGGTCCAGGACACCCATGCAGAGGTGCGAGGCCGCCCTCCTCCAGCAGCTCCCTTTCTCCGCACTGTTTGCTGTATCACTTGTGCCACGTTCTTGTTGTTGTTTTTCAGTGCTGCAAAAGCTCCATATCTGGCTAAATTCAAGGTGAAACGATGTGGAGTTAGTGAACTTAAAAAAGAAGGTCAGTGAAGAACATCTGATGTCGTGTGGGATCTCAGTGTTTCCCCTTGTTAGGCCCAGTTTCTTTTGGTTTAGTTTATCATCCTCCCCGTGAAAGATGATGGCCGTCCATCTGCTCTCAGTGTGACCCCTCGTTTGGGGACGGGACAGAGCTCATGTGCAGTGACAGAGACCCTGGAGGTCAGACCCCAAGGCAGCCAGAGGGTCCAGGAGGGACCTTCTTGAGACGGAGTGGCCGGGGACTTGGGGGGTATACTAGTCTGCTCAGGCTGCGTGCAAATGGCCACAGTCTGGGGCTTCAACAACAGAAGTTGCTTCTCTCTCGGTTCTGGAGGCCAGAAGTGCGATATCAGGGTGTCGGCAGGCCCTGCTCTTTCTGAAGGGCTCTAGGGGAGAATCTGTTCCGTGTATTTCTCCTAGCTTCTGGTGGTTGCCGGCAGTCCCTGGCGTCCCCTGGCTTATATAGCTGCATCACTGCAACCTGTGCCTCCGTCCTCACGTGGCCTTCTCCCTGCGGGCCCCTGTCCAAATGTCCTTCCTCTGATAAGGGCACCAGTCCTTGGATCAGGGCCCACCCTAGTCCAGTGTGGCCTCATTAACTTGATTACATGTGCAAAGACCCTATTTCCAAAGAAAGTCACATTCTGCGGTTTTGGGTGGGCATGAATTTTGGGATGACACTAGTCAATCCAGTACAGGGGGTGTGGCCCCCGGCCAGTGTGGGGACATGCCTTCCATGGCCTTACCCACACTCTGGCCCCCGAGTCCTCCCAGGCAGCCCAGGGTGCAGAGAGACACACTCCCCTGCCCCTCAGCTCACAGGGCCCATCGCTGATCCCAGGCACACCTGGGTCCTCACTTCCAATGATAACGGGGCCTCTGTCTTCAGTTCCATTTAAGCCTAACCATTCTTAGGAAGAGACCCCTGGCCCTGTGCTTCCACCCGCTGACCCCAGGCATCTGCTGGGCCTTGGCCTCCTGGGGGCTCTGCAGAGATGATCTCCAAGAGTCCTAGGGTTCCTTCTAGGCATGTGAGTAGGGCTCACCCACGGCACCCTCAGGGGGCCTCTCACTGCCCTTGGGCTAATAGGCAGTCTCTCCGTCCCCCGTGCCCCACACGCAGGTCTGCGGTGCTGCTCGGACTCCGGGGATGAGCATGGCACGCAGGAGGCCGATGGCCAGACGGTCTCCTGGCAGGCGGCCATCTTCAAAGTGGGAGACGACTGCTGACAGGTAGCGGGGCCAGGCCGGGGTCAGGCTAACGGCGGCGGGCCTGCTCTCCGAGGCTCTAGGTGTGCTTCGTGGTCGAACCTCACACACAGAAACACGAATCTTTGCTTACAGCTTTTGGTTCAGATGCCACAGAGTAAATCAGGGCTTTCTGCCAGACCCAGAGGCCTCTGCAGCGGCTCCCCACCCCGCTGGACACCCTTTGGCTGCCTCCAGGAAACTGCCCTGGGGGCCGGGTGCCCCTTACTCACACCCCCACCAGGCAGCATGGCCTTGTGTTCAACCCAGCAGCTGGTGGTCCCAGGAGCCCGAACCCAGCCTGGTGGGCTGTGAGGTCAGGCATTCCAGACTCCTGCTCAGCTGGGGCCTCCCTCCCTTCCTCCCTCCTCACTGGGCGGGGCCGCCGGGGATCTTGTGAGCCGGAGAGCAGGAGGCCAGCCGACCACCCCACAGCTCCTTGGTTCCCAGGACATGCTGGCCCTCCAGATCATCGACCTCTTTAAAAACATCTTCCAGCTGGTCGGCCTGGACCTCTTTGTCTTCCCCTACCGGGTGGTGGCCACCGCCCCCGGGGTAAGTTCTCTGCGCAGGAGCCCAGGCGGCTGCCCCTCCATGCCTCAGGCGGAGCGCAGTCCGCCGCAGGCCTCGCCACTCGGCCCTTCCTCCCTAGTGCGGGGTGATCGAGTGCATCCCCGACTGCACCTCCCCGGACCAGCTGGCCCGCCAGACGGACTTCGGCATGTACGACTACTTCACACGCCAGTACGGGGACAAGTCCACCCTGGCCTTCCAGCAGGTGACCAGCAGGGCGGCCCCCAGACCCCGGGGTTGTGCGCGCTCCATCCCGCCCCCCAGCACCGCCTGCCAGCCAGCACCCTGCTTCCCCCTTCCCCTGCTGAGTCCTTGTACATTTGGGGGTAAAACCAGAGCACCCCGTAACCTTGCTTGGGATTCAAAGGAGCCTCTAGATGGACTCCCCAAAACTAATTCATGGGTGTGGGAGGAAGGGGCTGCTCCCCCTGCACCCCCAGACACGGCCACTTGTCACTCCCACTACCAAGGTCTGCCTTGCTGATTTGGGGTCCCAGGCACAGAGCCGGGAGAGCACCCGCAGGCCCCGGGGTCCCCGGCACCGAGCTGGGAGAGCGCCCGCAGGCCCCGGAGGCGCAGTCCTCAGGGGCCGTCGTGAGCGCCCGGCTCTCTCCACACAGGCGCGCTACAACTTTATCCGAAGCATGGCAGCCTACAGCCTCCTGCTGTTCCTGCTGCAGATCAAGGACAGGCACAACAGCAACATCATGCTGGACAACAAGGGCCACATCATCCACATCGGTCAGCCAGGCCCAGCGCCGCCCTCGTCCTCTCCCTTTCCCCTGGAGCCTGGGGCAGGGTAGCGATCCCCACCCCACAGCAGAGCAGGCGTGCTGAAGCCACCCAGCCGGGAAGGGTCGGGGTCAGGGTCAGGGTCAGGGCTCGAGTCCAGCTTTGA